CATTGCCGGCTCATGTCCAGCTTTTCATCTACCGGTACCCCAGCAATGAAAAACCCAGCACTGAAAAACCCAGGGAGTGGGAGCTGTGTTTTGGGGAGTTTTTCCATAGGGGCTGGAGCCCCATCCAAGCACCTGCCCCATCACTGCACGGGCTTTGCAGGATGCTGCCTGCCTTCATCGCGGTGCCCGCAGGGACGCTCTTGGGTGGCTGGAGAAGAAGGGCTCCTTCCCACAGCGCTTACTTTCCGCCCTCTGAAATGACCTGCGCTCACCCGTTGCAACTTGCAGTATGGTATTAACTGTTCTGAAAATGTATATTCTCTCCTCTCACTGGAGTGCTGGAGAATTAAAGGGCTCATCTCCTTTAATGCATAATAGGATATGTCTTGTCAGCACAGTGTTCCAGAATGAAAAACATGTAAACAAAAGTATGAAAAATGTTAATGCAGAAAATGGCCAAGCAGATTAGTGTGTTAAGCACCTCCTGTACAATGGAGATAAGAGGGTTATACAGACTTCTAAACATCTTTATAACATGCCTCTTAAACTGTTTATTTTTATAAATTGTTTGCTATAACACCGAAAACTTGCTGTATTTCTTACAGGCTGTTTTCTCTCCAGATGCAGGAAGAAATCCAGGGTCAGGCAAAGCCAGTGACCAAGCCTTTGGATTTCAGTAGGGCTGTGATTCCACCCATGGACTACTCCCCATTAGACAGCTTAGGTTAATTGAGCTAACAATTACCTCCCACGTGATGACCAGCTCAGAACGGCTCCCTCCTCCTCCGCTGATGTTCGTTGGTGCCACGGCAGGAACTGGAGAAGAAAAGACCTTGGTGCTTACAACTCCCCACCGCTACTGCCAGGGGTCTTGTCAACTGGATGATTAGAGCTTTTCCTCGCTCACATGCAGCTATTCTGCCTTCCAACACGTAGAACAGGGGCTACATTACATAACAGTACATTTTAAATGAACTGAAATTATGTTTACACATTTTCAAGTTTATAAGGCTGAAGCCACAGATGTGTTTGATACATGAGTACCCTGGTTCAAAAAATTAATTAAAGAAGCTAGTAGCATCAAGTATCTGACATTATTATGCCTCATCAACTAATTGGCAAAATGATGTTCCATTCAGACTGTAGCTGCAACACTACTGATTTACTAATTATGCATTTGTTCAGTAAACATGTTGTTGGAGCAATATATTAATTTTTTTAATTGGCTGTATACTCTTCTTAGGAAATTCAAAACTCTTCATTTTTCTCCTTCTCCCAACACTGTAAGTGCCCAAAAGTTCATTGTTCAGGGCTTGATTTCCTCAGTGTTGCTCAAGGTATATGGCAGCACAGGTACAGGGTCAAGGTCAAGCAATGTGCTGGTGTTCCAAGCTGAAGGGGCTTCTCATCACTCAAATGGCTCTTGGTGGAGAGGCAAGCAAAATATCAGCGTTTCTTGCCTGTTGCTGTATATTTCCACAAACATGCCCAGCCCATTAGCCTATAAATACTGACAGGCTGGGGGAACTGGTTTGTGATGTAATGGATGGAATTCAGACAGACCAGCCTTGTTCTTATCGTATAGTTCGCTATAGATCTACATGCGAGGATGACATCATGTTCCTTTTCAGCTGCTGGGGAAGTATAAAGAGAGGACAACCCTGGAACTGACTGAGACAGAAACCCCCTATAAGAGGGCATCTGTACTGTTTACCATCTCCAAACCCCTGGTACTATTTTTAGAGATTTCAAGATTGTTCTGTCATTCCCTTCATTCAGCTCTCACTGTCTGAAAATGGGATGTGTTGAGACAGGGCTGAGGACAGGGCCAGAAATAGGGGCAGTTACATCTCAGAAGCTTTTTCAGAGATTTTGGCAAGTTTTGCCATGTCTGCCTGCCCTTTCCCATGTCTGCCACCCAGCATTAGCCCAGCTCTAGTAGAGGCAATAAAGGCAACAGCCCTTTAAGTTCACAGAAATTTGTATGAACCCACTATCACTTCGAGATTCAAGCCCACATAAATCTGCATCTGATTTCATCCTCTCTAGAAATGTAGAAATTTCACGATGATTTTGTTGTGCAGTCATAAAAGTGAGTGCAAGCGCAAACGGGCAGGCTCCTTTGAAGAGTTTAGCATAGGTATTCGATTTTGTCACTCACAAGCATAGGTATTCAATTTTGTCACTCACAATCAATGTCTTTGTGCGCATCAGAGGCAAATAATCTAAGACTGAAGCGAACTGCATTAAAGGAAAAAAATTACAAAACCCTTCAAGCCTAGTGTTTCACTGTTTCATGAACCAGTTGATGCTCAATTAGTTCATGTGTTAAATGCGTTCAGTACTTACTACATTTGCATGGGGAAAAATTTGTACTACTGCTCAGCAGAGCCTCAACTGGGTCATAGTTGAGAAACAGATGAAAATTTACAGCTGAGTGCACCAACAGAGGCTCAATTAATTCTCAGCTCCATTTTAATGAAATGAACAGTGGCTCATTTGCATCCACAAATCTACTAATGCTCCGATTTCAGCTGGCAAAATAGCTATTACAACAGTGAAGTTCAAATTCACCCTTTCATGGCCAGTCTTTTGCTGTCCACACTGTCATCCCGTTTTCAGTTTCCTATTCTGTTAAAAAATGTAAAGACACTCTGTTACTGCTCCCACAGCAGAGCAATGTTTTGAGACAGAATGATTTACAGCAGTGAAGAGGTTAAGCAACTAAACCTGAACTGAGTCTTCCTATTCCTTTCGTTAAGCTTCTGATAAGGCTACACTGTAAGGAAATAATGTTCGTTGTGTTATTGCCATGATAAATAATATTAATTTTATTGTTTCTTTCTCTTTCCAGCCCTAGCCTTGTGAATCCCTCTAATAAAAGAAAGCTTTAAAAGATGAGAGCTTTTACAGACTGTATAGGTGGTTTTGAACATCACACTTTACAAAGCCCCACGGTGGCAACAGCAAGGAAGACCTTCTCAAGACTAATTTTGACTTCATGATCAATCATGTAATGGAGAACATATATCTGTGATACTCTGCTGGGAAATTTAGAAAATCTGGCCTCTTCCTCTCTCCAGCTTTTGTTTAGCTTTCCCTTTTCACATTGCTCCTTACTCCTTGCATGTGAGGGTTTCCTGTGGTTCTGCTGTTGGAGGAGGGGGTCGGGTACCACTCGGGCATGCACCCCCCAGACGCCTAAGCCCGGGCAGGATCAGTGCATCTTTCCAGGCTGGAGGCTCTCAGGCTCTTCCCTTTGCTTGGGAGCAGCCTGCAATCTGCTTTACTACCGCACTGGCCAGGCAGTCCTGACTGCTGCTAAGACTCATTTGATGTCTCTCTGCACCTGGAAAGCTGACAAAATCTATCAAAATCAGTGTTCTAATGATCAAATAGTTTTTTCTGGCATCAGTACTCAGTATAAGTTTTTGCTTCAACAATAGGAAAAAGAACTTATTAAATTTAAATCTACTGATTTAATACATTTTGAAGTCATTCTGCCTTTGGACAAGTATTATAGGTGTTCTGAGAAACAAATGGATCCCTCTTTCTAAGTATATATGTATTTTCTGCTGTACAATGTACAATACTGTATTTTGAGTTCTGTGTTGAAATACAGCTTGCCAAACTTCAGAGCTTGGCAAATGAGATAAACAGAGAAGAGAAAGTGGATTGTAAAAGCTGCTTCCACTTTACTGCTTTCCGTCCTATAAATACTGATTTTATAGGTGGGAGAGAGTTGATAAGCAGGGGCTGGGAGAAACATAAAACAAACCAAAGGTTTGGGCTTCAAATAAATTGTACCAAACTGAGTAGGTCAAAGGACTGACAGTGTTGGTCATCCAAGAATGAGTCTTCTTCCTATGAGGTTCCAAGTCCCAGAAGATAAATGTGTAAAGGTTAGACAGACAGATAGTAAGGATCCCGCCCTGGAGTCAGTGGAAGCTATTAGTTTCACTGGGCTTTGGATGCTGTGATTTATTTCCTCCAGTTAAAGCCAATATCCTGTCCCTACTGATGCTCAGATATCAAACACCCTCTGCAGCAAAGACATTACTTGCTTGCGCTAGGATATGCCAGAGAGCTGGCTTTATCATTTTATATGCAAGTCCCTGAGCAGGGTATAAATATGGTTATAATTGGAAGACAAAAAATGTTGCTCCCCAATTGCTTGAATGAAGGCTTGTGTTCAGGCACGTGGATTAGATATATTTTGGGACATATCAAAGGGAGGAAGCATGGGCCAGCTTCAGCCTTTATTGCTGGCCCAAGTGATCTCCAAACCAGAAAGCAAAGCGTGCGGTATCTCAATCGTGTCCAAGCATCCCTTGCATCGGTAGTGCAGGTCTGCTGTCATGAAGCCATAGCAGCCATGGACTAACATGCCAGACAGATATGTAAGTAACCCTGTAGGAGTGAGTGGCTCTGCTGCAGTGAAATTCTCACACGTGGGAGCTGGCAACATGTCTGTGTGGAAAAAACTGACAGAAAGTAGGGACTTACCTGCTGCTTTAGTTTTCAGTAGAGCTGATGGTCTGCTTGGCTCCCCAATTCCAACACTATTGCTGGCAACCACACGAAACTCGTACTCAACCCAAGGGCTTAAGTCAACCACTGTTGCCTTGTGAGTCCTACCATTAATGACTTCAGGAACTAAAGGTAAAATAAACATGTCATGACAATTTCTTTTTGGAATAATTAGTGGTATATGCGAAAAATACAAGGCAACTCTCAAATTGCTCACCTGTTGCAACTGCCTGCCATCCAACTGAGAAAGGAGTTCTCATCTGAATACTGTAGATCTGGACTGGACTATTATTATCTATTCCGGACTTCCAGGATAACACGGCAGTAGTGCTAGAAATATGTTCAACTTCAAGATCTTCTGGTGGACCTGGGGGGCCTGATATAATTAGCATTTTAAGAGGAAGGTATTAGGAAGAGCAGATTCATTGCTGGGTTGGGTTGGGCAACTCTTCCTTAAGTCAGTGGAATTATTCATGAAGCTGCAGTTTCATAAAAGCAACGCAATCTCTAAATGATGGCTTCTTGCCTGTATTACATTTTTCTAATTAATGAGTGGTTTTGAGTCAGGAAAATGAATGTCTTTATGTTTCTAATATGAAAACTGCAAACAAGGGAATGATTTGTTTTGTCTGACAAAGAAAGTTACCCAGTGTGTCTTTTGCTGAACGTCCAACATTTTCAGAATTCCTACTGAATTTAATCAAAACAGGTTTAGAAAGAATGCAAGATGGTGCACTGTACAGATTTCTGATTTCTGCTAGGGTTTAGAGGATCTTCTCCCATAACAGCATTTCTCTTGCTGCTGGCAGTAAAAAGATTAGTTAGTTGAACATAGAAAATAATTTTTCATATTATCTCCAAACAGCAGAAAGGAACCAGGTCTCTTGTTTCTTTTCCAGCCTGCACAGTGACCCAGACGTGCCCAGCAAGGAGCAGGTGACAGCAGTCTGCTGGAAGTAGAGGACTTCCCTGTGCCCTGCCATACTGACCTGCGTGACCAGAAAAGCTGACCTTCCAAAGAGGCCATGGCAGCACTGCACAAATCTCTCTGGGTTAGCTGCACACTAGGATCATGTTGGCCAGAAGCTCAATCCAATTTTGGGGCCAAGGGTACAAGATATGTAACAACTCACCATCGAAATGTTGAATTGATATCCTAGGAACCATTTAAACAACAGTGGATGTTAAGAATTTCTAATTCCTCCAGAAGATATATGTGTCTACATTTAACAGACATACCTCTTACAATTATATCTGCTGTTGCAGATTGACTGTCTAAAGTTGTTTGTACCATGCACGTGTATTTCCCAGAATGATGTAGCTGAATATTTCTTATCATCAAATCCCCAACAGACTCCTGGAGATACAAAGAAAGTAAACTAATCATTCACAACGTGCTTTCCATACTGGACATTTTTATAAATTGCTCAATACTAATAAAAAATTCAGCTTTTAAATTAATATATTCATAGCTATCATCAGTTTCTTTCATGTGGACATTTTTATTATGGCTTCACAAATAACTCAAGCACCTTTATGAAATTTAAGAAAGAAAAATAAATGGCTGAAGCCCTTGTAAAGAAACAGTGATTTGCCATGCATATAAATAGTGATGGAAGAACTATGATAAATATTTGTGTTGCCTAAAGACTGTGGCAAATAGTTTCATTAAGCAGTAAGGAGTTTAAAAAACTTACTCTTCCAATTCTTTCAAAATGATGTATTCCTCTATTAAAATCAATGGTATTGCCATTGAATGACCATGTGAACACCACATGTATGGAGGGGTCATGAGACACCTGACATGGAAGGACTATGCTTTCTCCAACTGTTACATCCATATTAGAAGGTGGAGTAGTAATTACAGTCCTTTCTGTAGGGACAAAAAAAAATAAAAAAATAAAAAATCCTTTTTATGAACATGCTTATAAAAATAGTAGATCTTGAATGAGTTTTGTACCATTTGTGAAATGATTTAAAATTGGCCCAAATGTTCCATAATAAAGAAAATTATCTCTAATATGGTGATGATTTCAGAACACTCTTACCCGTGTGTAGCCTATTACTTTTGCAGTTTCAATACAACAAGCATGCTGTGTGCCTCTCAGAGCGAGCAGATGTCAGAGGCAACATGCTAAATTAGTCGTATGTTACTGTGGAAAGCCCATAGTCAGTAGGTATGATGTCAGCTCCAAAAGTGCAGAAGTCATTATTAAGACTGTTAAAAATATGCCCAAGGTTCTTCAAACTTGAAAATCTCTCCTTATAGGAAACTGCAGCAAAAGCAAAATTGCTGTTCATCTCCGCTTACTTTATACATTGAGATCCTTAATCTATATTAATGTTAGTGGTAGTTTACCGCACAGTGCTGCTTACCTTACAGGTTCAAAGAAGATATCTTCACAGTCAGAAAAATTATTTATCTAATCTTTTTTAACCCCTTACACTGAGAAACAAACTTGCAGCTCTTACTAAGGGAAGTAGTAGCTCGCTGAAGGGGAAAGAAATAGGTTTATATGGCTTCACTTTTGTTGATATGACTGGCAGATAGATTAGAGATAACAACCACTTTGTTGTAAGCAATTCCCTTGAATAAAGCTTTTGTGCATGAAAGTGTTATAAAATGGTGAGAATTTAGAGGCACGTGAATAAAATGAGAGCAGAATCTATTCAACAATATTAATATGTTCTGAAAATAATGTGAGAGGAGGAGAAGAAAATTTGCACGAGCTGTATTAGTTCAGCGTTCATTCTGGCTTAACCCTATGCGTTAGAAATGTGCTTGAAACGTCAGGATTTGGGTTTTACTAAGGCCTTGGCTCCAAAGGGCTGACGCATGACAGGGCATCCAACCCCTTACCTTCAAACGCATTTTCGTTCAGACTGTCACCATCATTGCAGTAACTGACAGGCAATATGGGCTGAAGCTTGAAGGGCTTCTTCCCAGCATCTGAGCTGCGCTGGGTGAGTGACTGTTACGGCAGTGGCCAAGTAGAAACAAGGTAGAATGTTGCGTTTTCTGCTAACCTTGTAAAATAAAACTGGATCTCACTAGTTTCAGTGATATACCTGCTGCAGGCATCAGGTAATATTTTCCAAGGAAAACAAAGAAAGAACTTGTCTGATTTTTATTATTGTAGACAAATAACGGGTTGGTTTGGTTTTTTTTTTTCTGGTATCATTAAAAGACTGTCAGAGGCTCTTATTCTGAGTTAGAGCTCAGACTTGGAAACCGCTTTCTCAGATTTCTCTGCATACTCTGCTCTTACAACCATGTAAAACTATCATTGTGGCAGCTCAACCAGTTTGTCTGAAGTCAGGAACTACAGAAATGTGAAGGCCTCAGATGACTGTCTTGAAGATACTTGATCATTCGGTTAGAGAAATCTCTTCCTCTCCCTGCAAGCAGTGTGTCAGATGCAATAAATTCCAGATGATTCAAGGGCCATATTCTTTGTTGGCACAACTCCACTGATTTCAGCACACACGGGCAAAGAACTTGGCTCCATAAATCTCAAATGAAGTAATTCCATTGTGAAGTACAGGTAACTTTTATAGAATAACATTGAAAAGTATCTGGGAACTACAGAGAACCTCCACAAAATTTTCTTTCCTTGCTTTTTCTCCTGTACTTCTTATTCTCACAGCTGAAATAGAACTGCATGAATAACACTTTGAGGAGAGAAGTTCTATTACTTGCAATAATGCTGTATATGTTGAAAGAAGAAAAAAGAAATAATACCCTGGTATACATTAAAAATTGGAAAGTTACTTTCATGACAGCTGGAACTTCTCTTTGCCACTAGCAGGTGGAGAGGCATGATTGGCTGCCCTGATATGGTCCTCCAAACCCATCATCTCTTCCTTCAAAGCCATCCTGTAAGACTCCCTCCTTCCTTAAACCTATAAACCGTGTGCATCTCTACACTGAGGTTTTAAAGCCAATGAAACATGGCATCGAAGAAGCAATATCTTCCCCTGAACACCACGATCGACCTCAAAGTGGAAATTCTACATTGGTCTGAATGTTTATGGTATGCTTCCTTCCAGACTCCACTTGGGTTTTGTCTGCTCTGTCTTTAGCTGTGCAGGAGAGATGTCTCCACACATATTCCCTCATAAATGATGCAAAAAGGTTATGTCTGGTTTACAAGAGGGTGTTGAAAAGTCTAGCAAGTCAGCCTGGACTGTCCCTCACCTCTTGTAGCCCCGGTTCTGACCTGTGCGGTGGAGCTGGGAGAACCAGGAGGTGGGAACTGGCTCCTCTGAAATCGCTGCAAGGGTCCGATGCACAGCTCCTGTCTTCTGTACAGGGTAACTGCCCCGGAATGGCGAGGGCTGGCCCTAACAAGGCTCGTTTACAATGTCAGTCAATTAGGTGGGCAACAACATGTTTCCTGAGCCTTCCCTTAGTAAGCTCAGTATCTGGATATGAGTAAACAGTGGTTACATGGTCCAGCTTCCCAGGCCTCTCAGATAGCCCCCAAAGCCTAAGATGAGCTCCTTGCTGCCAGGAATAAGCTGCTGCTGGTATTTTATCTGTCTTGCTTAAAGCTGGCTTGGACGCATCTGTTCTGCACTGCTTTGATGACAGCCTGAAGATACCCTTTGAACCAGGTATTGTGCTACAACTCCAAATCAAGGCACTTATACCAGGAATGAAATTCACCTTTTCTGCTTTAGTTCATTCAGTATTAATAAAACTTTGCACCACTACTGAATTTTCCACATGTCAAGTACTTCCTGTCCTTCAAATTTCTCTTTAAAATATCTACCCTTCGCAGGACCCACATCACCTCTACTGCCACAAGACTTAATGTCACCTCATCTTGTAACTCCTGCTTCTCTGTATTGGATGGTTGGTCACCAGGATCGGTGCATTTTGACTCTTCTCCAATGCACTGTGTACAATTATAGCGTTCTATAAATAAGTAAAAGACTATAAATAAAATCAATTTATTTCTATGGAAAGGTTGAAGTAAGACTAAGCAAGAATGATACAAGCAGGATCGCGCAGAATTTGTAATCAGATTCAACAGTTAACGTTCTAAACCCCATAGAATACAAATAGAAAACGATGCCCTATTTTTTGTAAAATCTTTAAGCCTCTATCAAAGCCAGTTGTCTATTTTACAGGTAGGGGCCATTAGCTCCAGCTGGTTGTAATGAAACTGGCTGGGAATTCTTTGAAACTTTTCTTCATCAGAAGATTCCAATAATATTATGGTTGCCTCATTAGGTCTGTCGTGTAATTTCTTGTGTCATGATTTGATCGCACATTCAAAGAGATCAGAAATAAGGCATCTGCAATCCTGTTATAAAATGTTATTAGAAAGAATAAAAATTCTGGAGATCATTTATCTGTTAAAACATATGGAAGTCCTCCTTGGGGAAAAGATAAATATTTTGAAAAAAATGCATTCTATGGCACCCTCTAGTGAACGGGTATTTTGGAATATCAGAACATAAAGGTTTCTTCTTATAATACAACAAATCCCAATAGCTATATGCTGTTAGTATTATGTCTACTTTCTTATTGGTATGAACCTATTGGCGTCCACCAAATAAATATTGAAAACTGTCCTTCTGTGAATTATACTGGGTTTGTGTGTGAGGTGGGGTTTTTTAGTAGTGTTAGCAAAAATATCCATTTTGTTGTGGTATTATCATCCTCTTGTGTCTCTTGTTCTAGCCTGCTCATATCCAGTGATACCACTGATGTGGAGTGGTTCACTTGTGCGATATTTTCTGCTTCTTTTATGGGGTTGTCTTTAAGACTTCCACCTCAAATACTTTTAAAAGCTTCTTAAAAGCTCTTGGTTCTGCATTACCTATCTATCTTGCTTAGCAACTGCAGACATGCATTATATGGCAAATCCCATTCCAGAAGAGAAAATAGATAAGATGTTGTGAGTGCTGGAGGTATAATAAAGACTTCTCACACAAAGAATAAACAACTCAATGAGCAGCAATAAACTTAATTTGCACATTAGATATGCTTTTCCAAGTTCTGACATTTCAGTTGAAAATAACGCTGAAGCAATGAGGCCTATAATTGAACAGCCAAAACTTCTCCAGAGGGGAAACAAAAACAAATGTTCCCTGCAAACAAGATCATTTTTATACCATGTTGTTACTCAGTGTTTCAATAAACTTCATAAATGCCAAACAAAATATTTTTTTCATGTTTTAATGTGATTTTCCCATATTGCTCCATTAGGATGTATGTATGTGATACGTGAAATGGTATATAATCTTAATGAAGTCAGAGCTGCCTAAACCCTAAACTTCTTGGTTTATTCATTGCTAGCTGTGCTGTGACATCGTCTCAGATTACACAATGCACAGCAACAATGCTAATTGCTCTTTCACAATATGAGTATGAAAAAGATTTTTGCCAGCTGCAGTAGGTTAGGGAGGAGGTCATGCCTGCAGGCTACAGTAACCATTCTGAAGTTATTGAAAACAAGAATATTAAGAAAAAAGAGAGTTACAAATTACATTTAATAATGTGCTCTTCTTGTAACTACAGACGTTATTATTGTTAGCTGTTTTGCAAAACTGATTAATATGCTTCCCATAATCTCAGAAGTTCCACTTTCTAACTTGTTCTCCTCACTTAAAATCAACAAATATGAATACTCTTATAAGAAAACATCTGTATTGAAAAGATCGTGTGGGAGCAAAGAGAAAAAAAAACATATGAAGTTTGCTTCAGTTTTCCTTCTTTTTTTTTCTGTCAGCATTTAAAGATCAGGACATAGTCATTTCATATGCTGCTCATAGGAGTAGCTATACAAACAATATCTCTTTTCACGTCCTCCAGCTCTGGACTAGTCCACCTGAGCGATAAGTCTGTACAAATTCCTTTTACTAATGGAGATAGGCCATCCATCAGTGCAGCAAAAACTTGAAGCAAAGGACTGCTTTGAACATAATGTACTTCAATGTGTTCCACGATGTATTTAACTGTGTTTCAAAGGGTGAAAAATACTGCAGGGAAGACACCCCCCTGCAGAGTATCGCTGGACTGGGACCAGAGCCAGAGCGTGCAGTTACACCAGAAGCTCAGCCCCGGCACAGACAAAGCTGGAGCTTTGGAGGGAAGGAGAATTACAGCAGATGTGACCATTTGATATGATGTGCCTCCTAGCCCATAACATCATTTTCTGGATGTTTAAACTGATAATCACAGGATGGCTGTTAGGGAAGTTATTTATATACCTCCAACTGAAACATCACAACATCTACAAATAAAACTCCTGGCCTCACCAATGTGGTCTGAAAAGCCGAGTTAGGTGTTGAAGTTGCCGGTGTTTTCAGTGGGAGGACTTGGACCGCTATCTAAAAGCAACACAGACTGCTCAATAAATTGCCTAGACCAACAGGAGAAAATGTTCATGCCCAAATGCTGGCTGTGCCTGCTGCAGCTTCGGCTGACAGCAAGTTAAAGACTGTCACCCAAGTGGGATCTTGCACAAAAGGTCCTTTTCCATGGGTGTTCACCTTCCTGGGCAAGCAGCACCCTACTCAAAGCGACAGCGACCCAGGGACTGTCCACCTTTCACACCATGGCTGGAGTCCCATGGTTACAACGCTCATGCAGAGTACAGGAGACCCAGGGTCAAGTCCTTCCCAGTCAAAGGTTGTGAACCCTGTGTCTCCCACTTCCCTCAGCCATGACTTTGTACAAGTCCACTCCAGCCAGAGAAGAGCTGAGATCAAAGAAAGCAGCAGCCCGTGGGAAACTCGGTCCCCGCCAGTGAGGGCACATAGTTGGGGGGGAAAGGACAGAAGTAGAAAACCTGGCTTTCCAGTCCTAAAGGTTATTGGTGTTTTATATGCAAGTGCTACAAAATGAGACTGGTAGACAATCACCTGCACTTAGTGCCTTAATCAAAAAGAAAGTGGGGAAAAAAAGGAAAAATAGAAGAAGAAAGCATGACTTGCATTGGAGCTGGAAATGTTAAGCAGTCAGGGCCAGTCCTTGTTGACATCCATAAATGTTTTGGGAAACATCATGCATAACTAGGTAGTTGCATTATGGCATATCTCATCAGATCCCACCAGTCATTTCGTCTCAGAGGACATGGGATTTGGTTTCTTACAGTGATCCTGATGGGACAAGTTCATAGTGATGATTCTCAAAGAGGCAAGTCACTTTCTTTTTAAGGAGAGAATTAAAATTTTATCTCATATACATAATGGAGAAGAAAATAATGGCAATGTGAGAGGAGGATGTTCCTCATTCTCTCTTCAGAAAAAGATCTGTTTCGTTACATTAACCTGTAGTTAATGGTTGACCCAAAATGTAATGTAAGAAAACAAGCAAAAAAAATCAAATGCTTTCGGGCAAAGGGGTGTCTTGTGAAATGAGGTGTCTTAGTATTAATATCCAGGAAAACAAACTAGTCTGAAAGCGTAGAAGATACCCTAACAGATCCCTTGTTTTGTTATTAATGCAGCAACTAGACTGGGGGAGGGCTGTGGAAGATGGCCATTTTAATATTCAGAATCAAAAGTCCTGTGAAAGGCCAAAGAAGAGTGTTTGCTTGGCTCTGATTTGGTTTGGAGTTATTCACCAAAGTAGCGCACAGCAGCTGGGATGCAGAGGAGGAGTGGGTGGCTTCAGGATCTGCCGGAATGCAACGTACGCTACATAGATCTGCCCCACGCTGAAGAAAATAAACCACCTGAGTTTCAGCTTACTTCATAACATCTTGTTTCTTTTTGGCATCCCAGCTTTCAAGTCTCTTCTGCAGTCTCAGATGTGATATAAACCGTAAATGAGCTGAATATACTCACCCAAGCACGCCGCATGGGGCACGCTGAACCTCCACGCTGCCTCGGGGTCGTTTCAAACTCTGGCTGCCTAATGCCTGCAACAGTGCAGCCCATACCTGCGACGTCTAAACGGTACTGCAGTGCAAATATCGTTATTAATGTTACTGCCTGTCTCTGTGGATATCTGGGGAGACCTCCCTGATAAACAAATTGATCATCGGAGCGGTGCGGTCATGAGTTTTTCTTTGCTGCAGGCAGCGGAGAGCTCAGTTTCAGCTTTAAACTGCAAGTAAAAACCTGTCAATACTAGCACTGATCGGCACAGACTTGGGCATCCCAAAGAAAAAAGCACGTACTTTCTAATATTCGTAAAGCGCAAAACAAAATACTGAAGTACCTTTCACAATCAGGTTCCCTGAATTTTTGGCAACTCCGAACTGGTTTGTTGCTACACAAGTGTACACCCCGGCATCTGATTTGGTGATGTTATAGAGCCTGAGACTGCCATCCTCTAGTAAGATGATCCTGGGGAAAAAATTATACAAGCAAAAAAGAAGAAATAAAGACTTCTGTTACAAGAACTGTAATAGAAATGCAATGCTACTTCTAATATTTAAATGCCCCCATTATGCTTTTTCTCTTCTACAGCAAGCTGACTATGTATCAACCAATTTTCACCTCTGCTTATTATTGATTTCCCTATTAGGAATATTATATTGTCATAATGGAGTTGACCATTAACCTATCTAGCTGACTTTGTTGCAGCAAAATTTGGAGTCTCAAGAGAAAGAAGGCAGGCCCAACTTGTTACCTAATTGTGCTGGTTTTTACCATGGGGGGCTTTTTTTTTTTTTTCAAATCCCAATGCTCCTGTGCAATACACATGCTGTGTCTGAGCCCAGCTGCCTGTGCAATTTTGTCAGGATTATTAAAAGATATTAGCAGAGTAGCTGAGATGCTGAAATGCCATCTCACAAGCCAAGGAGCCAAATCAAATACATTGCTGTCTCATAGGGCCATCAAATCACCTTATTAGTGACTATGTTGTTTACACCAGTTTGCAGAGTACTGAGTAAATTGCATTTAATAGTAATTTCAGGACCACTGCTGGGTTTTATGAACAAAATTAATTTCTAAGCTTGTTCATATGCTTCTTCATGTCAATGAGATACTTCAGGATGTAAGTCAGTCCAGAGTTTGGCATAAGTTTTCCTTAGGTAAGCTTTCACCACATGCCTGGCACCTTTTTGCTTTTACATACAAGGACAGCACTTTAGGTTTGGGGGTTTTCTTCACAAATACACAGAACGCATATCTACAAAAAATAGAGAATTTCAAAATGAAGATTGAATTAGGTAAGCGATGAACTTTTGGACAGAAAATAGTATTATCCTGCAATGTTTTGTTCATTTTGTATCAGTTCCTCCATCCACCTGTTGCACCTGGTAGATGTGGAAGTTCTTGACCAATTTTTTCTGAGTTTAGAAAGAAGGACAGTGGGCTGAAAGACATGAAGTTCCTGGAAGTTTCATGAAAATGGGGTCAGGGTGTCTATGTACAGCCCCTCTTGCCAGTAAGGCCGTGGCATGAGCACACTCTTAGTAGGCATCAGAGAATCTGCACACAACTGGGGAAGAGCTGCACTCAAATGCCACACTTTCCTACATCTGACAAAATCCAGCTGTAAGTCACAAATCCACAGGAAAACAGGCCTCTTTCATTCCAGCGCTCACAGCAGCACTGCATTATTTTTTTCCTATTCCTCTTTTAACTGACATTTAAATCTAATACAAGAATCCTTTTATAAAAAGAAAATATCTAATACATGCATCACAGCTTGGGTATTTAATATTTATTACTAACAACATAAGATTGGATGATGTAATGAATTATTAAAGGAAACGAACAAAAACAAGAGCAGAAGTCGAAGCTGGCAGTAATATCATAGCAATTAAACACACAAAAAACATCCTAGTGTCTTGCTGCATTCCACTCTGGTATTTATACTCTTGTAGCTATATGTGTAACACACATTAGACCTTGCTCCACTTCCCGTTACATGCTCCCAGCCTCTCAGCTGATGAAGAGAAGTGCTAGACGTGGATTTCTGGTGGTCTTCTCGCTTACATCCCCCCTGGTTCATGTCTCCCTCTCTTGTCTGACCTTACCCTGCCAAAAGATCTGCTCCTGAGCAGGGGGTGGGTTTAGGAATGAGAAAAGCTGTGATGTCCCTGCGGTGCCGGTCACTCTCTTACTGGGGTGTGGAGCTGAGAGGGGAAAGGGATTTAGGCTTGAATGAAAAATCTTTGTTACCTTGGCAATAATCACCAGGTACTGCAGCAGTTGTTTGCATGCAATTTGTAGTACAATGAGAAAATAAGTTTGGGTTTAATAATCCATCATATACCCGTATAAAACTGGAGAGGAGCAAAATATGAAGCAACCAAGTACGTTCTTCAATATAATGATATATCAACTCAATGACATTTTTCAGATAAGGAAGGGTGAATAAGCAAGAAAGAGCTGAGCCTTTCTGCTGGCATTGTGACACTGTGCATCAAAACGAGGGACTATGGGTGCCTCTCCTTCTCAGTATAGGGACACACCTGATGACAGCATTTCAAAGGCGGGTTTAAATATGAAGAAACATTTGCAAGTATTTCACTTCTGCCTCTGCAATTTTCTTTGCATTAATGATGCATTTCTTCACATCGGTTTGCACCAGCCACAAGAAAACATCCTCATTAGAAGCTGGTGTTGATAAAACAGTTGATTCAATTGACTGGGTAGCTAACATATGGTGGCTTCATCAAACAGTATCAAAAGATATTCGAGTGTGATTCAGCAAATGTTCATAAATTGGATACCTGAATAATAAGTTATAACAAGCCACCGTAGTGTCTTTCTCACCATCAAATATTGATGCCCTGTTATTTTTACTGCAGTTGAACCTAAAAGCTCTAGGTACAAATTGGAATCCAGAAGTGGGCATGAGGAAAAAAAAAAAATAGACAATCCCAGTCCCCAAAAGCTTCCAGTGTAGGTAAATATGCAGGAAAAACAGTCTGTAAAAAGACAGAATAATAAAGGGGAGAATCTTTGAAGGCACAAGCTCTCTGTGGATTTCTGGTTAGGGCTTTTTCACTGAAATTTAGTCACGTCTAGCTCAGATTTTTTCCTTGTATTCTTCATTAGGAATTAAGAACCGAATAATTCCCACCTTCCTGGTTTATCCACTAAGCGGTGTTTGTACCCACTCAGGAGCTGACAAGGTAACATTTGATCTGAAGAAATACTGTTCTGAAACAACATTTCAGCAACTGGGCAGGCTGAGGATGGAATGGCTCTTTGAATGGATCAAAACGGAGCTTAGCAAAGAGAAACCATGAGCTAATAAAAGCTTCAGAGTTGTTTGAAACAGAGGTCACGCTACCTGAAGACAATTAGGGAGCTAGCAGTAAATAAGAGACTCTTGCAGAATTTATGTAAAAGTACAAAGGACTCCAGAGTAATTCATTAGTAGAGAAGGGAATTAAAGAAAAAAAAAAAAAAGTGAGTGATTTCCAGCTGTACTGAGGTCTGTGTCAGGAGAGCGATGAGAAAGCAGAGCACAGCAGAAAATCAAGATGATGCATTTCAAATGCAAGGAAAAAACACAAAAAGCAATGTGAAATACCAACCCAGTTGCCATGAACAGCAAAGTTGCCATGAACTTCCTCAGAGCCATGACTTTATGCCATGGGTGGGTTCAGAGGGGCTGTACTTTATCCTCTCCCATTTGTCTTTCAAATAACGGAGCTGCGATTCTGAAGGCAATGGGAATATTTCCTTTAGTGAGCTTTGGATCGAGCTCTAACAAACAATTTGAAAAGAAGCTGTGAAAAGCATGTCTCACCTGCTGAAAGGCTTGCTGAAAACCATTCCTTTTCACAACATTTTAGACTGTGTGAAGGCTAGAGATAATAATTCTTAGCATTTGCATCAGAAGACAAGGTAATTCCAAGTACTGCGACAAGACAGAAAAGTTTAACTTGTCCAGTACAATGCAAGTAGAATATTTTGTCTGCCAGGAAAACTGGACTTCTCTCAATAAGTAAATGAGTGCCTGTCGAGGGACAAAAGCCAAAGATCTGAAGCATATCTGATAAATGCATCCCTGCGAAAGGAGGAGGAGGAGACGGAAGAATGAAATGAGCTACTCAGGACGCAGGTGTTCATAAAGCCCTGTTGCAGCAAGGGATTGCTTAAGCATAAGCCTAACTCTGAACTCGCATTTCTGACTTACAAAATGCTAAAATACTTATCAGACTAGTGCTGATGTCTGTGTTCTTGCCTGAATTACACAGGTACTACCTCTGGGTAAATAGCTCAATTAAGCAAAGATGCTATGAGGAAAGGAAGAGATGAAAATCCAGTTATATAAATCCATACAAAGTTCCTGCATGCAAGGGCTACTTAGAAATACCCAGAAATATCATTCCATATAGAATCATGGAATCATGGAATGGTTTGGGTGGGAAGGGCCCTTCAGAGCTCCCCCAGCCCAGCCCCTGCAGCGACAGGGACAGCTTTAACCAGAGCAGGGTGCTCAGAGCCCCGGCCAACCTGGCCTGGGATGGTTCCAGGGATGGGGCCTCCACCGCCTCTCTGGGCAACCCCTTCCAGAGCTTCACCACCCTCAATGTAAACAATTTCTTCCTTATCTCCAGTCTAAATCTATTCTTCTCTAGTTTAAATCCATTATTCCTTGTCCTGTCAAACATACGTAACAAGCCTGGGAACTTACCCTGCAAAAAGATGGCTATGTTGGATGCAGTTCATTTCAGGTGGATCACAGGAACATAAGAGAGCTCTTAAAGCCCAGTTCAGCGATATGCCTAGCCAATTTTCCATCTGCAGGATGCCCGTGGCAGAGGGTGAGGGCAGGGTAAGGATGCAGCAGCAGGTACCACAGTCCCTGCCAGCGCTGAGTGACCTGTAATCCAGGGTCTGGATCTAGAGAGGTTGAAACCTGTCTTCAGGAATGAATCCAAAGCCCTTTGAGCCTCTGCAAACCTTTAGTCCCACAACAGTGTGTGAGTTTTTCCCCGTTTTATTTAAGCATGGTGTAAGTGATGTCCTTTTCCTTGTTTTAGTCTACTCATTCCATTGGATTGATCCATGCCCTTGTCCTCTCTGAGTGACTCCAGTAGTACACAAGATAAGCATTATACACAGGAAAGGAAAACAAACAGCCTACCCAAGATCTGCTGGAGTCAGAACTGCGTGATGTTCAAAAAGAAGTTTGCAACGTTTCTGCAGAAGACATGAGACCAGGAAGAAGTGAGAGCTCATTAAAATTGTCACACATACTTTATAAGTAAAGAACTTGAGAAATCAAGCAGGGATGATAGGTACAGCTTTTAATTAACCAGGCCAAACAAACCAGCTCTGAAAGTGTTGTCTCATGTGAACAAAAGATTGTTGATGGCTATTTGCTTTGATCTTAAGAGCATGAAAGAATAATATGTATTTAAGAAGGCTTG